ACATGTATATAAGTGTGTATATGAGCTTGTGTAAACTGAGTGTCACAAATGATGTATGTATATATACATATATATGCACACAGAGCATATGCAGTGGGATATGACAATAATACTTATGAAAATATTAAAGAACTGCCAAGGAAGGCATAATTACAGGTAAAATGGAGAGTCAGCCAAAGAGGAAGAGCCTCAAGTAGATGGATTGGCATGGTGACTGCAGCAATGGGTTCCAAAATACTATAATCGTGAGGTTGGAAAGGCATCAGGCAAACATTGAGCACCTCTGAAGACCCCAAACTGAGCGTGGTCTTACTCAAGTCCCAGAGCCAGGTGCGAGGTACACCTGGGAGCCCAAACGAGGCTCAGTCTCATGACATCACCCAGGTGGGCTTACCTTAGCCAATGAGGGCAACCAATACCATCAGCCACGCCTTCTCCTAGCCAGGGGTGGGCTAGAATAAAGGCAGAGAGCATGCAATGGAACGTTCTCTTGTGCTCTCGCCCTTTTGCCCGTGCTTTTATGACCACTCAGCCCCTGGGATTTTCCTGATTTCACATGTGTGGCTGCTCTCTTCCACGTGGTTGGAACCCCTGAAAGTTTTCTGTTCCTACATAAAACTCACTTGTGTTACAAACGAGCTTTGGCATAAATTCTTTCAGCATGAAAAGCAAAGAACAGAGGTATTACCCACTCCAGAAACCTAACAGTTTGAATCTCCCCAGAGGTGCCTCTGAAGAAAGGCCTGGTGTTCTGCTTCTGAAAGATCAGTCAGTCAATGAAAATGCTATGGGCACAGCTCAATTCAAACACATCTGGTGATCATAGAAAGAATCGACTGCACTGCAACTCACTTGGCTTTTGGTTCAGCATATGTCAAACCAACTCCTGGCCTGGTTCATTGGGAGGGCTGCGCTGAACCACCGGCAGAGCCATGAGGTGTACCTCTCCCAGAATCTATCCGTAACATCACTCGGGAATAGAGGGGAGCTATAGTCTTCCCACCAGCATTTAAGGGGCATTCAAGGGTAGGGTCAAGTAGTTGGCATGGTTCCCACCCTTTCATACAGTCGACTGGCATTCTCAAATCACCTCTCAACTTCCAGCTGGTAATAGCAAGTCAGAGATTCGCCATGCCTATTCATCTAAGCTCTCCTGGAGTTTCTATTCAGATTCCACACTGTGCTTCTTTCAATTGTGGCCCCTTACAATATGTGGTGGCATCGCACCCTTTATCCATGCAGATGCAATCGCATTTCGGTGTGGGGGTACCTCTTTTATGTTCATGGAGCCAGGATTGTATACACAGACTTTTGAGAAGGAAGAGCCCATCCTGTCCCTCAATATAAACAATGTAAACAATTTGACAAATAAACAACAATTTAAAAACTATTCGGGAACCATAAAAATATTTTTCACAAGCAAATGAAATCACTGTTATCTGAATAATATCCTTTGATTTTATTTACGTTTACTTCAGAACAACCTGTATGCATTGCAAGAGCCCCACATGGTTCTGGAGCCACAGGTGGCCCACCCCTGTGTAGGGGATGAGGGGATGTCCCAAGGAAATCACTTGTAAGAGAAAAAGAACAGATCAGACAAGGAAGCAAGAATGAGGGAAAGATAGATACCATGTCTCTAAGGATTACCCCAAAGAAGTTGAGCCACAGATTTTTCTCCTGAACAGCCCACAGAGAGAGTCTTGCCCTCTAGCCAGTGCCCTGATTTCAGACTGCTAGCCTCAAGCCAGTGAGAGCATCAGGTTGTGCTTGTTAAAGCCACCCACTGTGAGACTAGTATTTCTTTTATGGCAGTATTAGAGAGCCGAGACATCCAATGGGTCTCGTTATGCCCCTTCGCTACAATCTGCTGGACTCTGCATTTGAACCCAGAGTGTCAGCTTGCCCTGGGCTTTGCATGTCTTCTCACTGGCCCCAACCCCTGGCATCTGGTCCTTTCACTGAGTGCTGATGACCCTAAGGAAAGGGGCAGGCCTTGTTGACATTTCTGAAGGAAAAACCGGCTCAGGCAGGGACCAGTTACTCAGGGTGCTGCTGGAGGAACACAGCCTCATATGTCTGAGGCTCTCATGAACTGCTCGGCTCCACCTAATAAGGGATAAGGGAAACAGCCATCAGACTCTGTGCTTCACTACACTGCTTGTCCAGAATTGAAGAGGCTGAGAAACTCCACTGCCTGGCACGCGCAACACAGGCGCGAACAGAGTAAAGCAAAGAGCAAAACCAGCCGTCCAAGCTGCCGCTGACTCATGGCAATCCCAGGGGGAGAACTGCTTCATCGAGAGTTTTCAAAAGAAGGTCGTCAGGCCTGTATCTTGAGGGGCCTCGGGGTGGGGTCCTACCACCCACTTTTCAGTTGGTCATTTGATGGATTGCACCCTCAAATAATTCTTAGACGCATTTGAAATGCGGTGTTGTCAAGGGTTTTGAAAATACCACGGGTTGCCAGAAAAACCACAAATTGCTCCTCGCAGAAGCACAGGGAGAAGGCCTCCTTCGAAGTGAGGATGGTGAGATTTCTTCTGACCTTCCTTGGACAAGTTGCCGGGAGAGACCAGTCCCTGGAGAAGGACACCATGCTTGGTAAAGTAGAGGGGTGGGGAAAAGGAAGAAGACCCTCAAGTAGACGGATGGACAGAGGGGTTGCAACCCTAAACTGAAGCATACGAACAATTGTAAGGATGGCCAAGGACTGGGTGGGGCTTGGTTCAGTTGGACAGAGGGTTGCTACAGGTCTGAACGGACCCGAGGGAACCTCACACCAAGACATAACAGAGAAAACTTGAACTCTGGAGCGCTAAACAAAGAAAACTTTAGTTCTTGTGCACTAACATGCACTGTGGTAGGCACTGGATCTCTGCTATCAGGTGTCTCAGGTATCAAGGCGGCTCCCAGCATGTGGCGCCAGCATTCAATCCAGCTCTTCCTGTTTACCTCTGAATGGGAGAAAAAGCATAAGGAATTGTCCTCCAGTCAATTTTGGCTCATGGAGGCCCTCAGGTTATATCCCAAGGACCAGTGTATTCTGGGCAAGGTAAAAAAAAAAAACAGGCTCTTGATTTGTAATACATTTTAGGAGTGTGTGCTGACACCCGGTGGGGGTGCAGATGGAAGGGGCAATATCCAGGTGCATACACTTCAGTCAGAAATAGTGGGATAGGTACTTGGAACTTTTTGAGCGACCTGGAACCTCTGAGTCAGAGAAGCTCTGGCAGCAGAGTGGGTTATGAATTGGGGTGCTAACCCCAACCGCCACTCTGGGGGAGATGAGGCTTCCTACGATCCTAAAGAGTTTTAGTCTGAGAAACCCACAGGAGCAGTTCTGCCCTGTCCCACAGGGTTGCTGAGTCGGTATAGAGTGCTGGAAGTGACTATGGCCTTTTTTGGGGGGTGGGGAGGTTGTAGTCAAGGGAAGAGGAGGTGATAAGAGAGGCCTGTTCCCCTGGGAGCAGGTGCAGCCTTCTGAGCAGGAGGGAGTGAAGAGGTGGGCACACATCAGGCCATTGTCACTGTGAGGATTTTTTAACAGATTCTCCCACACTATCTGCTGGAGATTTAATTTTAACTCAGACTATGTGGCTTTCTAGGGAAAATAACACCGAATCAGTCAATCATGCTGCTTAGCAAGTCAAAGTGAGTTTCCCCATTAGAATACGTGTGATTTAATTGGGTGGTGGTGAGGCTTCTCCACTGGGATGCAGCTCAGGGCTTCTAGAATGCATTTCAAGGACAAACATTTCTTCTCCTGACCCACAGCCCTTCCTTCTGAAAAGCGCTTCCTTTCACTCCTTTCACCCGAGCCAGAAATCCAATTCTCCCTTTCAGTTTGCCAAATTACACCAAAGATAATGAAATGTCCTTTTAATGGAGTGGGCTCTGGTCCTTCCAGACCAGGGCAGAAGTGGTTCTGCTCTGAGCTGCCAGCTGCAAGGTCAGCAGCTCCAAACCACCAGCTTCTCCTGGAAAGAAAGACAGGGCTTGCTACTCCCTTAAAGAGTTACTCCCAGAAACTCATGGGGGCAGTTCTACCCTGTGCTACGGGGTCCCTATGAGTCAGCTTCGACTTGATGCAAGTGAGTAGTTTTTATTTTTAATGGACTAAATTCTGCCTCTTCCAGGCCAGGGCAAAAGACTAACAGCCCAGTACTATCGCTGGGCCGTTCACTCCAAAGGAATGTCTTTACTCCTCTGAACCTCCTTGGAGACCTGTGCATTCATCTAGTTTGTGCTCTGTTCATGTGCACTGGGGCAAGAGCACTAGACACCTGCCAAGCTTGCCCTGCTGAGCTATTTCTCTGATTTATTGATGAACAAAAATCCTTCTTAAAATCAGTTTCTGCATCCCCACCCCCAGCCAGTCCTGGGACTTTGGGGCTGGGCTCCAGGGGAATCCCTCTGGGACATGGGGTACAGTGGAAAGTGTGACCCTTAGCCTGAGCATGCCTACACAGTAGGGGATGCTGGGGCCCTCTAGGGTTTCCCGTATGGGTTCCAATATTTTTCTTCCCTTTTGCTTAAAAAAAATCAGTTTTTGATTCCTGGGGTTTGGCTTTCATTTGTGTAGCACATGATTGGGTGTGTGGCCAGTGTCCACCACTCCCTTAACCCCAACCAGCCCCATCACCCAATGCCTCCTCATCCACTGTAACTGAAATGTAGTGTCCCAAAGCCTCACCTTCCCTAATAACCCCAGCTTCACACTCTCCCACACCCATACCTCTACCACCCCAGGCTCTCCTTCTCCACCACCAGCCTTCTCATATCCTTATTTTTCTTCATATTTGTCAAATAGGTTTGACCGGCAATTTGGTTATCTTCCTGGTGGGGTTGCTGCCTTGAGATTGTAAAATTCTCAGGGGGAGGGGCTGGGTGTTAGGTACCCTACTTTGCCCACTGCTAACAAGATTCCTTTCCAAAAGTTGTTGTGAACAATTAATGTGAGGAATGAGTGAGCCAGTGAACACACGTTCTAGTCCATTAAAAGTTTTATTTCTCTTAATATTGTTGAATAACCCATGGGTATATCTTTTATTTTCAGTAACCAATGGGATAGATTGATGTGGGATACCAAGAACGGACCCTCATTGACTTCTCTCTCTCTCTGTCTCTCTTTCTTGACCCCAACTATTTCCTGCTGATTTCATTCACATCCAAGCAAGGGCCTGTTCCAATGCCTCCTTATCTTGTTCTGGAGCACTGAGCATAAAGGAACGTTCACCCACTTCTTCTGCAAAATAACAAAACTCCCAGGCTTAGATCGATTAAGCAGCAATAAATATGTGACCAAAGCCACGGATGAATCTGCATTCTGAAGCTTTTTAAAACTTTCTACTCAAAGGAACTGCATTTGATAACAAGAAGAAGAAAGAATGGGAGGCTGAGTAGGGCACAGGGAGGGAGGGAGGAGGCAGAAAGTACTCAGCGTTCCAGCGCAGAAGAGCAGCACAAAGATAATATTGACGGTGCACTTTCTCCAGCCCCGGCCAGGCTCGCCACTCTTCAAACTATGTCCACTGCCTGTTTTCCCATAACGAAAAGAATCTGCTGCAAATTGCAGCATTTGAAATTTCTGCTTAAAAAGGGGGAAGAAAGGTAAAATTCCAAGTTATACATGTTGACAGGAATGAAAAGAGGATGTATATATTTTTTATTTTCTCCAGCGCTAAACTGACCCTCCACTATTAGAATATTGCAAGCCTATTTTAAACAAAAAGAGAAGATTTTTTTTTTTTAGCTTTCACTTGGGGCAGGGCTTTCGGCGGCTCTTGCCCTGTTTCGAGCCCTTGGCTGCAAGTCTGGCTTGCAACCTCTCTTCCTCCTCTCTCAAAGCCTCTTCATACCAGGGTGATAAATCACTGGGGGTGGTGTCACTGATGGTGGCCAAGAACTCCAGGGCTTTCATCTTGGTGACTTCGGCGTGGGCTCTGGGGCCCCACAGGAATTCATAGCGTGGGGGATCACTGTTGGCCACCTGCCGGTACTCCAGGTACTTCAGCTGCACGAAATCTTGGGTGAGGGCTTTCTTGGGATGGCCATAGATGCAGTGTGTCTTGTCAGCATATATCCCCATCATATTCAGCATTTCCCAGACCTCCTCCTCGGAGGCACAGTTGTCCTTCAGGAAGATCACACTCAGCACCATCATCAGGAAGCCAGTCTGGGGCATGCTGTCTTCATGAAGAATCCTCTCATCCACGCTGAAATCCAGCTTGTTGATAAAGGCATAGCAGTGCCTGATGGGATCCACTTCCTTCAGGTCAACCCCAAAGGCCAGCTCTAGGAGCGCAGAGGCTCTCTTGAGGATCTTGGGGAAGTGATTTTTGTACGATTTGACAACAGAATTCACCATGTCTGCCTTTGTAACTGGCTCTCTCGTTTGATACTTTTCCATCAGGAACCTCACCAATAAGACCACCTTCTTTGTTAAGGGATCTTTGCTGAGGCTCTTACTGGCCTGAGGGGAGCTGGGATTTCCCTCGCCATCTCCATGGGCATCTGTGAAAGCTGCAGCTGCAGCCCCCTGGAAGGACAGTGGAGAGTCCTCTGTCCCCATGGTAGGCAAATTCTGGGAGGGGTGGTTAGCTGCAGTAGCTTGAGCATCCTCTAGGGCTTTGGTCTCATTTTGGGCCTGGCGCTTTTTCTCCCGGGCTCGGAGCTTACTCTTATGGCCACGAGGCATGGTGTCTTCTCCAGAGCACAGGCAGTTGCACTGCTGAAGAGCTCACCCTTGAAGAAAAGAATGAGATGTGTGTAGACTCTGAAGGGAGATTCTGCCATAACTCCAAGAAAAGCTATTTCAGCAGGTTACCTTTAACTTGACAGTACTGCCATAGAAACCCACAAGAAGGAGTTGGGCAGGACTCTGGGGCCTTTTCTATTCTTTCGGGGGTTGGCAGCTCAGAATAACCCCCCCCCCCTTGGACTCCTGAGCTGTCTGGGGACTCATCACTGTCTTGATCTGAGACTGTCTGCTTCAGACAAAAGCCTCCCTTCCCACAACCTCCCTGGATGAAGTTAGAGGGGATTGGGTCTAACAAGCATGTCTCTGGCCTCCCTGGGGCTGATCATCGGGGTGGGGCCCTATCTGGCTTTCTCTGTCCTCCGAGGAAGTTAAGTCCACTCGGTTCTTACTTGAGATACATACCTTGACACCTGGTAGGACCTCAGACTTCTTCAGATCTTAAACCTCGGCTCTTAGAACACAGAGTCTCTCAGCACAGCCGCCAGAACTCCCAGTCCTGGGGTTACTGTGCTTGCATGGGGTGTGGTACTGTGGAGCCTCTTATGTTCTGCTCCACAGAATTCACACAGAGGCACTATTGCCTCTTGCAAGCCCTCTTAAATAGGATCAGCCAGGGATGCCAAGACCCCCCCATTTGCCCAGCAAACGAAGAAAGGGGGAGCCTGAACGAAGCACCCTTGCCTGGGGGCCTCCCAATGCAGAGAGTAGGGGCTCTGAGGGTCAGAGTTCTGAGGGAGCGAACCCTGTGGTCCCCTCTCTTCACAATGCGTGGAACCCCCCAGTCCTCTCTCCGCACCTTACCTTGAATCTTGCAGGGACCCCTTCTCTGCTGATCCCAGACCACCTCCTTCAGGTGAGGCGCTAAACTGGGAAATGATTCGAGAGGAGTTGGGTGCCTGTGACTCAGAACTGACCAGAAGGCACTGCGGTTGGCTTAGGCTGAGACAGGCTTTTTATTGTTCTGGTCATCGCTAATAAACATTGTATCCAACTTTGTTCTTTTGATAAATTGTAAAGGCAAGTCTGCATAGCTGCCTCCATGAAGCTCCTGACTACTTTTGTGAGTTCACATGTTAGGCATACGTTTAGATGTGGCTGCTGTTTTCAATCCTATCTTTTCCCATGAAGCGTTCCAAGTCCCTGCATGTCATTGGTGTGGCCCTACTGATCTGCCACACCAGCTTTCTGAGGTTTCTTCCAGGAGGGGACATGACAAAGTTTGAGGGAAGTGCAATTATCTTATCATGGCAGTGTTCCATGAACTTAAAACACAACGACAGCAGCACAGTTTTATGACATGTAATTCACACATCATACAATTCAATAGATGTATCTTATTTAAAAGCATTGTGCAATCATCACCACATTCAATTTTAGAACAATTTCTCCTTTCGTGTACTCATGGTTGTTAGCTTCCCATTCCTCCACTCGTACCCCCCACCTACCTACCCACTCAACTTCCTCTGCCCCCACCACACCCCCAGGAAACTACTAAAACAATTATTATCTCCATAGATTTATCAATCTTGGATTTGATATACAGAAAAACATACAACACCAAAAACAAAAAAAAATTAAAGCAGTAACAAATGAGACAGAAAAACCTGAATGCAAATGAAATTCATAAACTGGGTGAAGGCTTCTTGGACACGTAATTACTTTGTGAGTTAGTCCTTCGGGATAGTTAAATTAGATGATCACATGGTCTCTTTCTTTTCTTTATTCATACGTTAATGTATTTTGCTATTATTGTATATGGCTAGTCACCGGCTATCCATTCCAAACTGTACTATATTCTATTATCTTGGTCTGGATTTTATTGGGAATGCTTTTAGTATTTCACATGTAAGTATGTTTGTTGCAGATTTGATAAACTGTAAATTCCCTTCCAGTATTAGTTTGGCAAAGTTTATTAAGTACTGTGAACTGTTTTGCATGTGAAAGGCTTGCTCTTTAGCATACCATTAGAGGCTCTCCTTGATCTGTAAAGGTAGTAGATTCCAAATCACAGTATTGTGATATGCCCTTTGTATTCTTTGGGCACAACCTATTTCTTCATTTAATTCCCTGCTATCTCATATCTGGTAAGCATTTATATAGGATATTTGTCTCTATGTCAGTGAGCTTGGCTGGACTGTTCCTTTATGGGGGAATCATCAGCTGATCTTTGTTAACAGGGTCATTTTCCTTCGTTCCATAAGCTGGTAATTATGAATCAGATCTGACTCGATGGGGCACATCCTCAATTTGGTTGGGCATGGAATATTTTAAAGGGGACTAAGAGTTGGATGAAAGTTTCACTTATATTATTCAATTATATTTATTCTTCAATTTCTATTACTTCATGGACACATTTAGTCATTAATATTTTGAGAAAAGTTCTATCATTTCTATGGAAGCACCAACAATCTTCAGTAGTTATAGGTTAAGCTGAATAAGATTGATTTATGTTTATTGGTTGTTAGTTTTTGATACTCTACACATAGCCTGTGCACTTACATTTCTTTTTTTATCATTTTATTAGGGGCTCATACAACTCTTATCACAATCCATACATACATCAATTGTGTCGAGCATATTTGTACGTATGTTGCCATCATCATTCTCAAAACATTTGCTTTCTACTTGAGCACTTGGTGTCAGCTCCTCATTTTTTTCCCTCCCTCCTGCTCCTCCCTCCCCCATAAACCCTTGATAATTTATAAATTATTATTATTTTGTCATGTCTTGCACTGTCTGATTACTCCCTTCACCCACTTCTCCGCTGTCCATCTCCCATGGAGGAGGTTATATGTAGACCTTGTAATCTATTCCCCCTTTCTCCCTCACCTTCCCTCCACCCACCCAGTATCGCCATTCTCACCACTGGTCCTGAGGGGTTCATCTGTCCTGGATTCCCTGTGTTTCCAGTTCCTATCTGTGTCAAATCCAGCCAGATTTGTAACGTAGAATTGGGATCATGATAGTGGAGGTTGGGTTGGGGGGTGGTGGAAGGAAGCATTCAAGAACTAGAGGAAAATTGAATATTTCATCATTGCTAAACTGCACCCTGACTGGCTCGTCTCTCCCTGCAGCCATTCTGCAAGGGGATGCCCAATTTCTCACAGATGGGCCCTGGGCCCCAACTCCACATTCCCCCTCATTCACAATGCTATGATTTTTTGGGGGGGTGGGGGTGGTCTTTGATGCCTGATACCTGATCCCTTCAATGCCTTGTGATCTCACAGGCTGGTGTGCTTCTTCCATGCAGGCTTTGTTGATTCTCGGTTAGATGGCCCCTTGTTTATCTTCCAGCCTATAGGACCCCAGATTCTATATTAGCTTTCTTCACCGCATTTGCTTATGTACCTGCTTTGTCTTCAGCTATCCTGTCGGGGTAGGCTGGTGTGCTTCTTCCATGTGGGCGCTGTTGTTTCTTAGCTAGATGGGGCCACCTGTTTATCTTCAAGCCTTTAAGACCCCAGACGCTATATCTTTTGATAGCCAGGCACCATCAGCTTTCTTCACCACTTTTGCGTCTGCATCCACTTTGTCCTCAGGGATCAAATCGGGACAGGCTGGTGTGCTTCTTCTGTGTGGGTTTTGTTGTTTCTCAGCTAGATGGCTGCTTCTTTATCTTCAGGCCTTTAAGACTTCAGATGCTATATATCTTTTGCCATTACATTTCTTTTTTATTTATTTATTATTTTATAAATATATATATATAACATTTTATTAGGGGCTCATACAACTGTTATCGCAATCTATACACACATTAATTGTGTAAAGCGCATTTGTACATCATTCTCAAAACATTTTCTCCAGGGACTGGTCTCTCCTGACAACATGCCCCAAATATGTAAGATGAAGTCTTGCCATCCTTACCTCTAAGGAGCACTCTGGCCGTACTTCTTCCAAGACAGATTTGCTGGTCCTTTTAGCAGTTCATGATAATTTCAACATTCTTCTCCAGCACCATAATTTAAATGTGATGCCACACCCATCTACAAGCACTTGTATATAAAAGGAATCTCCAAAAACTTTGTGGGAAAAGTCCATTATATTTCGATGTTCATTTTTCCTTGAACTTGTTGAAGTCCTCTCGTAGAACAGTACAGTTGTATATTTCACTTTTTAAAAGGGTATTATGTGGGTGGATACTTGGCTACATGGAATGTTCAAAATGGGATCAACTAAGTGGCTTTGGTTTGTTGTTCCGAGTTTTTTCACTCTTAATGGAACCTTCAAATGAACCCTCTCAGTACACAAGTGTGCACTCCTGGAGCAGGTCTGAACATGCCAGCAACTACTGCAAGACATGTGAGATGTGTCCCAAGAAAGAGGGTGTTGTGATGAGGAAAAGTGAATTAATCTGATTTTCCAGACAGCTTTAGCCATCTAAGGTGCTACTTAATTCTGGGAGGGGACAAAAAAGGGACCTTCCTTACTCTCTAAACTTCCCTATATGCTGTTGGGCCATAGGAATATGTGAGGCCAGAGAATTGAGATAGGAAATACATTTTAAAAGCACTAACAACTATGTATATATTGAAGACCCATAACGCGCTAACAAGTGTGCTATGTGCATTGTCTTGTTTAAGCTGAGATGTACATTTTAGGAACTAGATTATATGGGTAAAGGGATTGAGGCTCATAAACTTAAGAAGCTTTCATGCATCCATTTAATTCGACAAAGGCACTTGTGCAAACTAGTGAAGATAGCAAAGGTTTGGACTATATAAAAAAGGTAGAGAACAGAGGCATCAGAAGCCCTTTCCTGGTTAGAAGTGGGGTAGATTCTTTGCAATGTCTAAGCAGTTTTATTTATTTATGTGTATTGAATACATATGTATATGTATTTATTTATATTATTTATATGTATTTTTAATACTTTATTTTCCTCCTTTCTTTTCATTTTCTTTGTGTAATATTATTCATAAAGTAGATAACCAAAATGATGCTTGAAAATGAGTCCAAACTATAGTTGAGTACTTGAGGAAATGACATAGGGCCAGGACTGATCTACTCGGACTACACAAGGGTAGGAGAGCCCAACTCCACAGCAGCCCATGGCTGGTTGCCACCAGACAGAGGACAGTCAGGCCTGCACTTCTTTACCCTATTCGGATGCCCTGGGACTCTACTTCTCTGCTGGGTTTGATCATCGGTCACAAAGGCCACACAGAACTCACCGACAGTAATCACAATTACGGGGTTTATTAGGCAAGTCAACAAGGTGGGATCAGAAAACACTACTGATAGTCTGCAGCACCTCTTCTCAGCAATGCTGGTAGAAGTAGTTCTAGGCCTTTTAGACATGCTGGCCGTTGGCCTCTGTCCTGCTCTGGCAAGTATTACAAAGCCCCTTTGGGGCTGATAAACGCCCAAAGGGCGCCCCACTCTGCAAGCCAGCCTCCTGTGTAAAGGCATTCAGCTTGAGTAATTTTGTTGATTGAGACACCTACAGCTCTCCCTCACAATCTTGGTGTTGCTCCTCTGCCCTGTCTCATGGTCTTAGCTTGGCACCTCTACTGTGGCCTCTGACGCTTGTAGTGTCTCTGCGCTGCCAGGCAGTTCTCATATATTGGCTAGTGATACTTCTTTCTTGATATTCGTGGGATTTTCACTTCTGTTCCTGCTTCTAAGTTGGTTGACTTACTTTTATACCCAGCAGAATAACAGAAATTAACCAGTCCCCGTGTTAGAGTCCTATACAACTTTTTTTTTTTTTTACAAATTCCCACCCATTCATTGGGTGAATGTTACAAAGGTTATAGTTAGATGAACCATATTAAACAATTTCACTTTACCCCAGTAAAGTCAATACATGGAAAAAAATCTTAACATGATAGTTATGCTAGAGACATTGTTTATGGTAGCATCAAATACATAGTA